GTAGAGTAGGTCTTATGTTGCTGAAGCGCATGGATGCCACCTTGAATTCTGTCGGCCTGTGATCCGTGTATAGGTCCCAAGGTGTCAAAGAATAATCGGTGCACATAAAATTTTGTGGACGGAAAGTATGCTTCATTCCAGAACAAAGCTACTCATAAGGTTGCTGAAAACTCTTCGACAACCCACGACCAGTTTTGCCCTTCTTGTGCGATGAACAGAAAATATGCGGCTTTCTTCATTTTTGTGCATCATTTTGAATACAAGCTGCGAATTACGAGTGCGGATGTAGTTACCTTAGTCGCTTTGTTTATCTTGTCATGTCTTGTTAAATTACCTCGGTAGAATGCTCATGAATCACACTCAACAACTCAACCATTTGCCTGGAAACATCACGAACGAGAGATTCAGCTGGGTTGCAGGTGAGTCTATGAACAAATTAAATTTGTTTGCAAATGAGTGTACTTCGCTAATTTTCGCGCAATTTGGTTTCAGGTAGAACATGAGATTGACGGAAACTCCTGCGCCTGCGAGAGATTCAGCTGGGTTGCAGGTGAGTCTATGAAAATACCAAATTTGTTTGCAAATGAGTGTACTTCGCTAATTTTCGCGCAATTTGGTTTCAGGTAGAACATGAGATTGACGGAAACTCGGGGACTGCGCCTGCGTGAAGTGTCCCAAGAAGGACGAAACCGGTAGTGGGCTGTTGAAGAGTTCTCAGCAACCTTATGGGTGGAAACGTTGTTCAGTTCAGGGTGAACGCTAGGAGTTCTTCATCGTTGCTACTGACTAACTGGGTACCTGGTTCAAAGTTTGTCTCTGCATTATTATCAGAAGATGCATGTGGGTTCGGTTACCTTTTCAGATATATCTAAAGGGCTCTAAATGACTGCCAGTGGTAAATACATGTTGAGGGCCGGCTACATTAACCTAAGTGACGGGGTTCGCACCGTCAGGAGGACACACTGGAGGGAAGTAGTGAGTTTAGGTCATACGGCTAAATCACACCAAAATGTTGTGAATTCATTCACTATTTACGCACCTTGACACAGATTTTGTTGTGCGACCGCTGAACTTGGAACAAGCATGTTCTGCCGGATAACTTGATATCATCCATCAGTGTGTGCTTGCTTTGGGTTGGGCCGTTTTTTGCCTTTGTCACTGTGAGAATGTTTGAGCGTGTATTCTGACGGGTTAAATCCCGTTTAGCTCCCCACGGGCTTGACACGTACTTCGGCAAAATCGTGTTGGCCTGTTTTGGATGGACTTGTTTTAGTCTACGACCTCGGACTTTGGAGTTTCGTGTGACAAACATGATGGGCTTTTCGATTAATGGATTTGCTGAGGCAAATTCGGGAGTCTAAATAAGTTATCCTCGTTTGGACGCGAATTTGGTTCTTACGGGAGATTCAGCTACATCCAACTGAATAATTCGTTTATGCTGGTCTTCTCCGTTCTTCCCTTTTCTCATTCCAATTTGAGGCCAAGCAGAACATAAGGATCATGAGGACTCGGGGGCCGCGCCTACCTGATGAGGGCAAAATCAGCTGTGGGATGTCGAAAGGTTTTCAACAACGTTATGAGTAGTGCTCCTTCAAGGTCCCCCGTACTTATGTATTGTTCAGGAATAATAAATAATGAACAAGCCCACAGAAAGCTGATGAGCGTCCCGGAATTTTACCTCCAGTTGGTTCACTAAGGCTAACTGTGTGCGGACAGCAACTCATTGTGGTGGAAAGGCCATATTCGAATCAGAACCAAAGAATTAATAAGGGTGTGACACTTTGTCTTCCGTGCACCGGAAACAGAAGGGTTTTTTCCAAATCGTTATAGACAGTCTTGGGAACCTTTTGATTCAGAGGATGGTGAGATTCGGCCACTAATGCTGGATAGTGGGTGAGCTGCGCCATCCATGACCTTCCGTCCACGTGTTCACAACGTCGATCACTCGGTGGAACCATCATGACAACAGTTGGAATACAGTCATCGGTGGTCGCGAGTGAAGGTCGAAACAACGTTTGTTTAGTCTCGATGATAATTAACGTGAACTTTCGCATGCGATGCAGAAGTTCACACACACACGTCCACTGGAGATGTCCCAACACAAGTTACAAGTCGCGTTCAGTTTTGACCGTGTGGTCAAGCTGCACGTGTGACGCGACCCAGACAAGTTGAGTCTCTATTCGAATCACAGCTGAGGATGCCAAGTGCAAACACGCGCTTGTCTGATCCGGAGTGGACTGTAATGAACTTTTAGTGAAAAGCACTTGAATAAACCCATGAA